GCCTGCGCCGGACTGCCCGCCCCACAATGCAGCGCGCCGGGACTGCGCCGGACTGCCCGCCCCACAATGCACTGCGCCGAGCCTGCTCGCTCCACAGTGCGCCGCGCCAGTCTGCCCGTCCCACAGTGCACCGCGCCGAGCCTACCCACCCCACAGTTCAGGACTGCCCGCCCCACAGTGCAGCGCGCCTGGATTGCGCCGAACTGCCCGCCCCACGGTCCACTGTGAGGGGTCCGGCCGGGACTGCCCGATCCACAATGCCCCGGGCCCCCACAGACCAGAAACTCTCTGCCCCACAGTGCACTGCGGCCATCCCGTGTGGCGCCCGCTGAGGTGAGACCTGTGGAAGTACAGGAGATAAATGCTGGTGTCGCGGGGGCATATGTGCTAGAGAGAAAGGCAGGCCCAGTAGTTGGGGCACCAGCCTGGAACTTAGGAGCCCTGAGTTCAGGTCCCTGCTCTGCTGAGAGTCCCTGTGTGACGCCATGCCAGCCCAGCGCTCCGTGCCTCGGTTTCCCATTGGTAAAACGGAGATGATGTTGCACCCGCTGTGAATGCTAAATAAACGTTGTGAGGCACTCAGATACTGCAGTATAGGATAAATTATTCCTGGGCCGTAAACATTCCAGAACAAATTGGACGTACAGCACTCACAACACACCAGACTTCTATGCAACTTGTACTTGCTGTACTGCATCGAAGGACTTCTGTTCGTAACCCACAATGCACTGCAGCTCTGACCCTTCCTGGGCGGGAGCTAGGCAGGCAGCTGAACTACACAACCCACAATGCACCTGTTCTTCATGCCCCAGCCAATCTAGCTCACGGTAGCACTACAAACCCCCTCACCTTCACCCAAGCATCCTGCTCCCAGGGATGGGGCAGCATTCCCCAGAGCTCAACAGGGATAAAGACAGTGGGCAACCCAGTCCCACAATATACCTTGTCCGTTCAGATCTATGCCTCCCACCACACCCATGTATAAGATTCAGAGGGATAGCCGTGTTAGCTGTGAAAGCAGCAAAGAATCCTGTGGCACCTTATAGACTAACAGATGTATTGGAGCATGAGCTTTCATGGGTGAATACCCACTTCGTCGGATGCATGTCGAAGTGGGTATTCACCCACAAAAGCTCATGCTCCAATACGTCTGTTAGTCTATAAGGTGCCACAGGACTCTTTGCTGCATGTATAAAATTGTTTCCCAGAAAGTGCACCTTGCCCAAACAGAACTACATTTCTCTGGAAGTACCATGCTTCTTGGATCTGTTGGCAAGTGGAATATATCTCTGACAAAGCAACACAGAAGTTATACAAACAAACTACTAAGTGTTTCATAGTCTCAGCATAAAGCATAGGAAAATGCAAAGAAGCCTGTGCTCTTCAAAATAGTTCTTTATCATTTGCACCCATTATTCCCATTCTGTCGTTTCTAAACAGACCTGTGCTCTGTTTGCTGAGTTACATCTGCTTACTTTAGTAACATAAGTGAACCTTGCAGAGCTAGCACAACTATGGAAAAGAGTTGCACTCTTTTGTGGCTCACAGTTTGTGAACAACAATATTAAATAACATCATTGCAAGACAACCTGTGCCCAGTTTGCAAGCATAGTAGTATAAGATATAACTGCAGGCAGAATTTTAATACCGTGGGATTAGATAGCTGTCATTAATGCAGAATTTGGCCAGCAGAATCTTTACTGTGCAATGATGATGCACAAGCCACAAATAAACTTACTTGACTTCATGACTTCAGAGTAAGTTTGTCTGGATGGCCATTAGAAAAAAAATCTATTTTCTTATAAATTGAATATGTTTTATCCGGGAGAGAGAATACATCTCATGCCATTTTTACAAGTAAACTTTGAAAAGTAGAGCCAAAAATTATGGGAAAATCAATGGGAACAGAGGGAGGGATATTAGTGTACACATGAGAAATTGCAAAAAAAAAGCTGAAGAACATCCATTGTTACTACTATGTAAAAGGAAGGAGAAGAGAATGGTGCTGGACTGAGGAGGACAAAGACAGACACATTCCATAAGGCTGGCAGGGGCAAGTCCATAAGACATTGTAATAAACAAAATGGCCAATTGTGTAATGAATATTGAAGTGAGTGAGGAAGCAGTGAAGGTGTCTGAGGGGTTGATTCAGTTCAAAGAGTACTAACTCAGATGCCAAGGAATGTGCTTTAAATGTCTCTTTTTTAAACAATTGCACTGCTTTATTTCACTGTTATATAAAGCATGTTACAAAAGACAGGAAATGTCATATTATGAAGATTCACACTGGCATTATCTAAAGTGGAGCAAATGAAGGACTAGGTGGGGAAGATATATACATTAAACTGTGTAGACCTTTAACAACACACGGTGGAGTTCCAGAGGAGGAGTACAAAGGAGTCGGTTTAATTTTTTTAAATAAGGCTCAGCTTCCAAAACTTTGAGAAACTCTGGACCTAGGATGATCCCCATGTCCTAACATAAGATGCCTGGACTGAGATGTATGGTGACCTCTGTGGATTAATTTCCCTTCCTCTTCCTCAATGATTTCCCATACCTTTTGTTTCTACTCTTCAAAGTGAACTTGTAAAAATGGCATGAGTGTGATTGTCTCTCCCAGATCAAATATATTATATTTACAAGAAAACAAATTTGTTTTCTAAGCGCCACCCATGCAAACTTACTGACATAGGAGATCCGTGTGGGGACAGTCTGAAAGTCAGTGTAGACAGGCGTAAAGTGCAGAAGTAGGACTCAGAGCCCCTGAGATGTCAGCACTTTCAGTAGTGGTGCCAGGGCCGGCTTTAGGAAGTGCGGGGCCCGATTCGAATACCTGGCGGTGGTCCGGGTCTTCAGCGGCACTTCGGCAGCAGGTCCTTCACTCGCTCCGGGTCTTCCACAGCACTGAAGGACCCGCTGCCGAAGACCTGGACCGCTGCCGGGTGAGT